ATTGAGAGACATATAATAAAAACATCTGAAATTCTTTGAAAATTTGAATGTACTGAGCCTAAAAGCCTTGTCTATAGGAGGTAAATACTGTCATATTTATACCAATGCACTTACTGCAGATGGAGAAATTGAGGGCAAGTCACAAGAGGCTGTTATGTGCTGCAACCCCAAGCTTTGCAGCACCAAATTCTTGGCTATCCATTTGCCTGGTGTAGCCACAGCTTAGCATATGACTGCACACACTTCTGCACACAGATACAAGTTTGCTCTGTGTGTAATGTTCACTGGCTGCCTTTAATTTAGCTCTAACCAGGAGCTTCACAGTCACACAACACAGTGCTTGAATTAATAAGCTTGGCCTCTTTTAATTAAGTCTCCATGACTTCTGTTTCAGAGGCAGCTYATGGTTGGTTACTGTCTAGTGCAACTAGGATTTCTCTTGCGTGCCTGCAGTAGGCTTTGTAGGTGTGCACAGGTACAGGCACATTGTAGCAGGCGGCCTTCAGCRTTTGCTTAACATCCTGATTTATACGAGATGCCACAAAGAGGGTCTCTGCGCTTCTGTGTCAGGACCTGCAYGCCTTTCCTGAACGTGAGGGAAGCCCCTCTACACGAAGGAGATTCACAGTTTTGAAAACATAGGATGAGGTCCATTTTCCTAAGCCTTTCCCAGGGAGATCATGTGGTTGGTAATTCCACCTTATTTCCCCCCAGATCACTCTGAGTGTTGTGTGGTTACCGGGCCTGGGACAGCATGAACTGTTGCAGCTCTAGGCTATTCCTCTCTCTGTCTTGCCTAGGTTCAGTGTGGGGCTTCTTCCAGACTTGTGCTTTCAGATCAGAACTGCAATGGGCTCCTTTTTAGCTTCCTTTTCCTTTAGTTACAGGTGAAACTGGATATTAACTGAAAATAGTGATCTCCAAAGAGTCAGTACCCATTGCATACCTAAGCAAACAGTAGCTGGTGCTGTTTAATCTGATCCTGTTCCTAGGAGGATCATTCCAGATGCCATGCAGGCAGCTGTCGAGCCCCAGGGACTGTGATGCGTTGCTTTCCCGCTSCTGGGGAAGATCTGTTGTTCAAGTGAAATCTTGCAGTTGCCTAATGTGTYGTTTGCGTTGTCAGCCGTAACAATTTAACTTAAATTGATCCGAGTGATTTATTTTATTACATATTCATAGTTAAGCTGTTGTGTCTCTGTTTACTGTACTGCTGTTCACTGACAGATGGGGGAAATATGCTAAATTGATGGACTCAAGATGATGATGGATACATTTTTAGTGCTAAGTTTAGAAGAAAACAATATGTTTATATATATGTTAATACATAACTCCTAAGGAAGCCAGATAAGTAGGAAACTTGACAGAAGGGACTTATAAGTTATTCTTTATATGATAATCCCTAAGAACATTTTATCTTGTATAGTGTTTTGACTTGATTTGGAACCATCTTCTCTATAACCTGTTGGCATGTGATTGCAAACATAATCCTAAATGTTTAACCTCAGTCTACTTTACTATCCAAGAGGAATCAGTGTTAGGAAGTTTTAAGGCTTCACTTATGGATGCAGATTTTGCAAGCTGTCTACAGGTCTCTTACGTCTAAATCGTTATTAAAATGCGGCAAACCCTGTGTGAGGCTTTGACCATATAGTCTGTGTTGTGCAGGTTCGTGTAGCCATGAACCTCTTCCTGCCGGGAGATTCTGAATTGCACCATGTCAGAAGGTGAGGTGACCACTTGAGCCATGCAAATTCAGTCAGTTCGTGAGGACAAATAGAAAAGAGTCCTGGCTGTAGAAGCAACTTCTGATGCAACTCTTGCAGCAGTTACGAGTTCCACACTTTGACACTGAATTATTTCATTTTTTTAGTGGGGTCTCTGAGCTATCAGCTATGTGAGATTACAGTGTTGCAATTCCTAAAAAAAAAAAACAAACAAACAAAAAAAAAAACCAGGAATTTTAAGCTAGCTGTGTTTAAGCTGTTAAATGACAAAGAGAACGTTACCTCATCTAGGGAGAAGGAAATAGGTCACTGCCTATGTGATGTCAAATGAATCTGTGTAGCTCGTTATTCCACCACCCAATCGTGTTTCGCTTCCTAATGGATCCCTGGAATTGTAAAGCTATCGAATGTGTTTTATTACTGCTCCAGCAGCAGGATTGGGCATTACTGCAGATAATGGCAGGCTGCTTAGTCCATTAGCTGCTCCTGTTGGTTTTGCTTCTGACCGTTAAATAACAGGCTCGCTGCTGTCAGAAGATGCCTTTTTTGCAGTCTTAGTGCATTGCTGAGATAGCATTAGGCGAGCTACTAATGTTTTTACTTTTTGATGAATAATAAATTAACAGTAGATAAATGGAGAGAAGGGCAGAATTGGCTGAAATTTAAAAACCAAGAGAAAGTAGCTCTTTAGCCATAGTTTGGTCACCATATAATGGCTTTTGAATTTAACCGAACAACTGCTGTTGGGTTATTTTCATTTGCTGTGTTCACCCTCCCCAGGAAGCAAATGATACGCGTGCACTTTGAGCAACTGACGTGCAGAGAGGCCATTACTTCTGCAGGAACTATCAACTTGTCTTATTTTCATGGCTATAAAGACATGGCTAAAGAAAACACATCACCCTTTATTGGTTCTAGCTATCAATGACAAGTCAGTTCCAAGACAACCGTGGGACCAGATCTCGAGGTTGAACAAGAACAAACAAAAGCCAAATACATTATTTCTGCTGATGTGAGGAGAGTAGTTCTTTAAAAAATGAATACATAAATCCAAATTGACTTATGGTCAAACTTGGCTTGTTGCCACTAACTTCTCTTGTCACCTACTGTTCCCTTGATCTTGGCTGTTGCTCCCACTAACTCTCCGTTTACTGAGGCTTGTTTGTTGTTACACAATGATCTATGATTCTTTTCAAGTTTTCGCCAATTGTTTAACAAAAATAACATTTTGGAATTCACACTTCACTTGTCTCCATCAAAACAGTTAAATCAATTTTAAATAGATTTTTAAATGCCTAACTGATTTGCTCATTGCACTCAAAGGATGAAGCAGGATGCAGCTGGTGCTCTAATTAACAGTTTGTTCTCAAGGATACAGTTTGTTAAATATCACATGTTGATATCTTTTGTACTGATGTTTACACAGTACAAATGGAAAAACATTATTCATTAGGTGTCACTTCTAAAAAAGAAATGACAAAAACTTCTCAGAAGCTCAGGGTAACCTAATTTAATGGGAACAAGGAAGCTTTTAACCAAGAAAATGAATTTTGAGACTTGAAATGGACCTTGTGTAGGTAGCAAGCTTGCATGCTATTTATGAAGATGAGGAGAGGAGATGCAGGCTTTATCCAGATCAGTAAAACACCTGAAATAATAGATATTTTCTCCTATTACGGATCATTCAGTCTGTTGCTAGTTGCATTTTATATTTTCATTTCAATGTGCAAAGATTAGAAATTAGTCTGGTGGAGGGAAGGAGAAGGATTTTTTGTCTATTTCAGAACTTGTTGTCTTGTTTTTCCTTTCTCAACTGTTTGTTGTTTTGTTTTTCCTTTCTTCTCAGAAAGAAGATTTTCTTCCTTCACTTTGCAGAGAAATCTCTACTTCCCTTTCGCTTTTCCTAGCATTTTCCATTCTGTCCTTCTATACATTTCATATAAGAACTTTCTTTGTAATTCCTGCAGGCTGTTGTGTAGAGTTCATTGCTCTAAATCTTTGCAAATTTAATTTTAAAGCACAGGTTTTCTACCTGGATTACAGCAGTTCTTGCTACTTTTCTGTAACTATGGGCCATTAATCATGCCGCATTTTATCTTATGCCACAAATGGCTTCTTTTTTATTACTTGCAGAGTAAGATGCAATTCAGTGCAACCTGTGCAGAAACCAGAGCAGAACTGCAGCTCCCAAGGGCTTACTGAATCCAGCCTTAAAAGTGAGTAGGTCGGGAGGAGGCTGCTCCTGGCCCGGGCACTGCCGAGAATCCCCCGGGAGGGTTTTGGTGACTGCAGCAATGGTCACAGCAGCTCAGCCACCGCAGTCAGAGGCAGGTAGAGGATGTGGAAGGGAATCTTTGCCTGTTGTGCACCCCATCTGTGCCATAATCTGTTGTAAAATCTGTACAGTACAAATCTGTGTTGGGGTAAAATTTGCCTAAGTGAAAGAGGGAACAAAAAAAAAAAAAGTGCAGCTTTTCATGCTGATCTTTAAATCTGCCAATCCTTGTATTTAGTTAATTAACCAGATTTCTGAGTGTATGTCAGTGTGTTTGTCAGAGACACAAACAACGCAAGGTTAATTAACTGGGAAAATTTTCTGTGCAATAATTATTCTGCTTTCTCTAGTGATAGTCCCCCAAAGAATTTCTCCTGCACTAAGAAAAATTAGCCAGAGCTATTCTGAGTATGACTGATCCCAAATCTTCTCTCACTGGATCTCAAATATAATTAGTGTGAACTTTTAATGTCTACAAACAACAGCCTGTTAAGTATGAAATCTCAGATTTTAACTGCAGCTAAACAGCTTAGAGGAAGCCTGTGATTCTGATTAATATCTACTAACAACAAGAGATGCTCGCTTCATGTTAAAATGAAAATAATCAGAAGTAATTTTACATC